GTTTTAGAAATCATTGCATTCATGCAGAGGATTAAAAGAAAAATTCTGTAGATTTTTCCTATTAATATCTTCCATTTTCCTTCCAAATTCCCAGAACTTAAATCTTCTATAATATGGACAATAAGTACAAATAAGCACACCCCTGCCACCTACAGTCTCCCACTGTTTCCATCTGGATTCTTTAAAGTCCTAAGGAAATAAAAACATAAAATTGTATTCCATGTTTTACAAAATGATCCTCAAAGTGAGAGACACCCCCACTCCCACCACCAGCCTTTTATGTGTACTCAGACTTCTTACCCCGTGGATTCTCACCAAGTGCATCTCTCAGGGGAACAGTACTAGAAAACTCCCTTTCAGTGATTAATTAAAATTTAATTCTTCAGTACTGATGAATCATTTCATGGATACTCCTGAAATCTATTAATTTTAATTAAAATTGTGCTGCCCCACAAAAATCTTATACTAGTTACTTTGAAAAATGATTCCTTCACTATAAGAAGAAATCATCTCAATAAATTATACCGTTTTTTCAAATTTAATGTTCTTTGGTGTGTATGGATTATGTACCCGAGTGTATGTATGTGTACTACATACATATGGGAGACCTGGAAGGTCAGGAGAGTTGTTGGATCCCCAGGAACTAGGTTTACAGAGGGTTGTGAGCCACAGCATAGGAACTGGGAACTAAAACTGTAAACGAGGTCCTTTGCAAAAGAAGTAAGTGCTCTTAAGTCCCAAACCATTTCTCCAGCCCTAAGGTATGATGCAGAAGACATATTCTCATGCCCCTTTTAGATTTTATTAGTGAGAAATGATTTTGTCATTACAGGGTTTCAAATGCCATGTTTTAAATTGTCTTGACTGAAGAATAACTTAAATTGTATTTGAAGATATTGCTTGACTTCTTCTATTTGGTTAACATACTACCTATTTCTGTCTGTCAGTGTAAACTGCACATAGGTAATGGAAACCATCCCAAGAGAAAAAACTTATGTTGCAGGAAGTAAAGGGACACATCCACCGAAGCCTACAGGAATTGAAGTTCCAAGCACTGAACATGGAGCTATAGGATTCTGTACTTTTATATTGAGTTTAACTCTTGCTTTGTTCCAGCTTTCCCACTAAGCCCCCATTCCTCTTTTTTAGAATTAAAAGGTCTATGTGTGCCACAGTATGTTGGAAGTATGCAATTTGCTTTTTGATTTTACAATGGCCACAATTAAGAAACTACCTATAGTCTCAGAAAGTAATTTAGATTTTTAAACAGCAGCAAAAATGTTAAAGATGATAGGGTTTGGGGATGTTAGACTAAATTCATGTTGTATTATTATATGGCCATGAACCTATGGAGGTCAGTGAGTGGAGTGTGGTGATTTGAAGGAAAAATGTCCTCCATAGGCTCAGGTATTTGAACAACTGACCCCAGTCAGTAGCATTTTTAAGGGATGAGGTATAGCCATGCTGAAGGAGTACATCGCTGGGAACAGGATTTGAGAGTTCATAGCCTCATCTCACTTCTAGTTCATGCCCTCTGCTTTGTGTTTGCAACTGAATATGCAATCTTTCATTTTCCTGCTCCCTCTGCCAGCTGTCATATCTCCTCCATCATTATCTCTTTCTATAATACGTAATAATGTCTTCTTTCAGCAGAAAAGTAACAAATATAAACTCTTGTATGATAATATCATTATCACAAGTACAAAATTACTCTAAAAATCATTTTCAACACATATACACACATACATAGCTAGCTTTATGTTATATTAATAAGTTAAAAAAAGATTTCATCTGGTAGTTGTAATAATATCAGATCAGGCACAAAGGAAGTGTGTTAAATAGCTTCCAAAAGAACTAAAGCTAGATCAAGATAATTTGGCTCTGAATTTACAATATTCCAACTCTCCACTATCATAAAGTCATCATTCAAACTCTCCTCTATCAGTCAGTAAGTTGGTCTCAAAGGAAATTTAACATAAATGTGCCTAGCTCCAGGAACTACATCCCACAAATTGAAATGCACAAAATTCAGCTGACAAGACTCTCATATTCTTCCTTATATATAGTTTAAGTCATATTTTATCAGGAATACAAGTGAGACTCTTAAATTTTTCTCTTCCCTGCAGATGTTAAGTAGAAATTAATAACCATATTCTCTGTTGAATGACATTGATAGGTATATTACAAACACACTGACATTTACAGGGAGTTTATGACTTCATAGTCTTATCTAGACACTGTTTTGCATTTGGTAGACAAATTAATTAGGTATCAAGTTTCATAGAGAAGAGGGAGAATACTTGCTTTAAGTATCAAAATTACACATTCTATTTGATGTTTTTCTGCCAGCAAATGTTAATCAGAATGTCTTCTTGTCTTTTGTATGAATTTGTGTGGGTGTTCCCTCTATTGAAAGTTATTACTTTCACTTTCCACTGGATCCTCAGGTCCTGCTGTATCCTGGAACACTCACATGAAAAGAAGCATTACCAATGTGTGAGAACTCAGCTAGAATGAAGGTAAAGACACTTATGGTCACTGTTGGGGGCATACCTTAATACTAAAGCACTTGTCCAACATACAGTTTTAATATGGCCGTAATGTTAATTGCCAAGACTGGGAAATATAAGAGGGTCTTATCTTGGAAACTTCTTGGATGACATGTTCACTTTCTTTATTTCAGAGCTTCTGTTTTTCATTAAAATATATTAAAAGAGGTCAATCATATATATTTTTTCAATAAATGAGTAAATATTTTGTGGGAACATGGAAAAGTATATTATAAATTTGACCCAGAATTTCTGAAATATTTATTTATGAAATACATCTGAACAAAAAATTATTCATTTCTAGTAAGATTCAGAATCATATCATACTAAAGATTTAACTGCATAAAACACTCGGCCTCTGACCAAGTTCCATTGTCCATGTACATTGTATTACTAATTATTTGAAATTATTTCACAAATTCATTTAATTTTATAGGTTTTTCAATTCTGTCATATAATAAATCATAAGAATAGGTAAATACAAGAAAACCTTCTCTTGATTGTGTGTGGGTCATCAATAAGATATTGCAAATTATGATACTATGGATACATAATATTACAAAATATAAAAAACAACAATTTCAAATTAATGTTTTTAGAAGTAGCATAAACTTTTCTTATAATTGTGCATTAAAATAAAATAGAATACACTATGTTCCATAAAGTAAAACAGAAAAAATACATTCTACCTAGAATTGTTAAATGCATAGTCCTAATAATCAGGAACTTATTTTAGAATGATTAATAATGAAACTAATAATAGAGACATAGTAACTCTTAACACAGTAGTCTCATAATTCTAAAGAATTGGCAAAAATAATTGATGTCTGTATTTAATAAAATACCTTTATGTTCAGTGTTTTATAAATCTGTATGATAGTATACATTTCTTCTCTAAACTTTTGTCCACATATTCTATGTTATATTTATATGATTTCAATCATATACTTTTATTAAAGTTGATATGAATACTAAAACACATATTGTATAGGCTAATAACTCAAAATCTCAGTGGTTAATAATTGTTACAAAGCCCATATAATTTTTAATATATTTATGTTTTAGTGGGTTACAATCACATCTTCATTTGAATATGTGTATTAAGAAATTACTTTGTCATGGTATCTCTTTCATTGCTCTCACACTCTGTTCCTGTGTCAGTTAGATCATCCTATTCCCTTATGTTTTCTTCCCCCATCCTCTACCTGCTATTACCCCTCCTTACCCCCAGTTTACTCATGGAAATCTCATCTATTTCCTCTTCCCAGGGAGATCCATGAATCTCTCTTAGGGTCTACCCTGTTAGCTAGCCTCTCTGGAGCTGTGGGCTGTAGTCTGGATATTCTCCACTTTACATCTAGTATCCATTTATGAGTGAGTACATACCGTGTCTGTCTCTCTGAGTCTGGGTTACGTCGCTCAGGATGGTATTTTCTAGTTCTATCCATTTGCCTGCAAATTTCGTGATGTCATTGTTTTTTACTGCTGGGTAGCACTTCATCGTGTATATGTGCCACATTTTCTTTATCCATTTTTCTGTTGAGGAATATCTAGGTTGTTTCCAGGTTCTGGCTATTACGAGTAATGCTCCTATGAACATGGGGTAGGGAGAGACTGGGTGCTGGGAAGGTTTCCAGGAACTCACAAGGATGACCCCAGCTTATACTAGTGACAGTGGTGGAGGAGGTGCCTGAACTGGCTTACCCTAATGATCAGATTGGTGAATGCCCTGACTGTCATCATGGAGTCTTTGTCCAGTGACTGGTGGAAGCAGATGCAGGGAGCCACAGCTGGGCACCAGGCAGAGCTCCAGGAGTCAAATTGTAGAAAGCAAAGAGGGATTCTATGAGCAAGGGGCATTGAGATCATGATGTGGAAATCTACAGAGACAGCCAAAGCAGGTTAGTGGGAACTCATGAACTTTAGACCAATAGCTGTGGAGCCCCCATGGGACTTGACTATGCCCTCTGCATGGGCGAGACAGTTGTGTACCTTGGTCTGGTTAGCAGTGGGATCAGGATCCATGCCTGGTGTTCTGGAGTCCACTACCTACAGGGGAACATCTTACACAGCCTTGATGCAGGGGGAGGGGCCTGGACCTGTCTCAACTGAGTGTGCCAGGCTCTGCTGACTCCCCATGGGAGGCTTTGCCTTGTCAGAGGAGGGAATGGGGAGTGGTTTGGAGGGAAAGGTTGGGGGGCTGGACGAGGGAGGAGAAGGTGATCTGTGGTTGGTACGTAAAATGAATAAAAAAAATTCTTAATAAAAAAAGAAATAACTTTGTACACAACTTGCTAAATTAGTAATAATTTTAGCTAGTGCTTATTGAAAACAAAACATAAAATTTATGCATTCAAAGTCAAAGATTATTTAAATGTAAAAATGGAAAATACAGAAGAAAATTTTATTTGTTAATCTTTGTCTGGAAAATGCAACATCATCTCTAGTGTTTTAGAGATCTAAGGCTTCCATGTAATTGAGCCTGCATTTCAGCCACCACAGCACAGAGAGAGAGGCCTGTCTCAGCTTCATATCTGCCATAATCAGGACACATGTATGGAATGAAGGAAAAGCTATATATACAACCTGACAAAATAAAAGGAAAATATTTTTCTTCAGTAACTCATATTTCCAAAGTTGTATTAACAGAGACAAGATAAAGGTGGTATATAACAGGAGAAAGGCAATCACAATTTGCAAAGCTTTAATGTGGGCTGTAGTGCTGGCATCTCTGCATCTTTGGACATGCTGCTGCATTTTCTTGTGATGTGTCCACAGGGAGAAGATGAGCAGGAGGAAAGATGACAGGCACACAACGAAGGGGACAGACAGGAAAACAGTGTGAAGGCTTAACACATGCCTGTGACACTTTGCATGGTAAAGAGAACTGAAACTGTAGGATATATTTCTTTGAGACTCATTTACACACACATTAATTTCCAAGTTGACCAGTAAAATATTTAAAAACAAGAGGACCAGAGACACCAGCAGTGTCAATGAAACTGCCCTTTTAACTCTCCACTTTAAATAAAGAAAAAGAGAGTTAGAAAAATTGCCTATCTTGAGAAAATAAAAAATGCCAAGGCATGTAGCAAGCCATATGCTGAAATGGTTGACTATAATCCATAGATTATTAATGATTTTTACCATCCTTGAAGTAATCACTAAATCTGAATTTACCGAGGAAATTAATAAATTTGTGAACAAGAACAAAAGTACACAAATTCTGAAGGTTGCCAAAGCAATGAGGATTTGATTTACAAATGAGATCTTTTTTTTCTTGATCCAGTTCACGCAATTCTCCAGTGCCAAGAATCCATTTCCTAAATTTCCAATGATTAATTCCAAGACTAAAATGGTCATCAGTGTGTTCTGGAAGATATCACATATTGTATGCATAAAATGCTCCATTTTTTATATGAGTTCTGAAGATTTGTTGACATACTCATTTGAAATGCTATTTTTAAATGTGTTTTTGAGAGTTTTTTTGAGAATTTCTGAGTTGATTTTCATAATGTATTTATTCTTGACTCTTCCACACAAACAAAGGTGCAAACATGGAGGTTTGCCAATGACAGAGTCTGAAGCTCTTTCCAAGAAAATATGTCTTCTCACATAGCTCAGGAGAGGCAGCCCACAACTTCTCTGCAATACATATAGCCTCTGTAGTATTTTCTAGTCAATGATAAAGGAAAGGTTGGAAACTCACATGCTCCTGTGCAAATGAAAACACATTATTTTCATTACCTAGATGTTTACTTCAGTCTACGTACTTTGATATGACTATTTGAGTTCTGTGAAAAATGTTTTAAGAAATTCTCAAGTATATAAAAATGATAAAAATATAAGCAAATTATGGAACTTTCTGAGATATAAGGCTTTATAGTTACTTCAAAAATTGCCAATCTGTACAGATACCTGGGCATGTGATGTCTATAGATATCACACTCTGATCTGTGTAATGTCATGAGGCCCTTTATTCTTCAAATATTAAGTAGTAAAAACAATATTTCCTTATTATTTCACATGCATAGATACATCTGTACAAATGCTCACCCATAAATACATATTTATTGAGATTTTAAATACTTTTTAAAATTTCAATGTGTCCATATTTGTCAATATTTATTGTGCACCTAGATCATGCTTAGTATTGTACAGATTGGTCAGGCCATGCTTATGATACACTGCAATTTAACTGGTACTTTAGGTCTATTTTGCATGTATATAAGGTGGTAAATTCTTCTTATACTGTGAAAAGTCAATAAGAAGGATTAGATCATCCACACAGTAAGATATTTCCTCATTCCCAGCCTCTCCATTGACTGGTAGAGGTGATTCTTCCATTAGCAACAAAGACCATCAGACTGTATCCACCTCCCTTCAACTTCCTCCAGTATCTGCTTTGTAAACATCCACTGATTGTCACCAAAGCAGTGAAGGATGTTAAACATGCCAGGAAAGATGAAGAATGAACATTTTGATATAGTCATAATTCAGTAGCTAAAGAGCAATACTGGACATAAATTAAAGTCAGGAATGGTTGCCAAATACAGTGTACATGGCAGAGAATGCCAAGCAGTAATTTAATGTCTAGGACTGAAAGTACTTTCAATCACTGAATCAAAGAAAGTGAACCTGATTCATTTGAAAAATCATAATTGTTCATCATTTGGTGGTAAGACAGATGGAGAAGACATAACAGGCCACTTTGTGATATGTTATGGAAAGCACCTAAGAATGGAAAAACACACATACCTTCAGTGTAGTGGCAGGAAGGTCCCTGTGATGTGTTTCCTTCCAGGTAGCAAAATGAGCTCAAGAAAGAAGAGAAACAAATAGAAATAGGGTCTGGGGTGGAGCTGTGTGGAGTGGGTGCTGATAGTGAGACTTCATAGGCTTTCAGCAAAGAATCAGGACTTGGGTCTGCAGCAAGGATTACACTCACTTACAAGGAGCTTTTCTGAACCTCCCAAGACAACTTTCATTTTGGATTAGAATCATCTTAGTTTCCACCTGGCCATTAGCTCCTAGGGAGATAGTCTTTCCAGGCAAGGTGACAATGTCATGTAGCATTGGACTTACATTTCATCTGCAAAAGAAAATTAAAAAGTTGGTATGTATTTTTTTAAAACCCAGAGAAATGTGCATTGGAAAGGATATATTTTACTGTTTGTAAACCATCTATTGGTAAATCCAGAATTCTCTTTAAAAGTAAGTGTCTCAGGGAGGTACCCTCACCTATTACAAAGTCACTATTACATGCTTGTTTCATTTAGAACTTATTGTATATAATTTTAATTTTCATTTAGATCAGCTGGTATAGTGTTTACATCGAATTTAAGGATTCACAAAAAATTTAATCAACCACAATTTTATTTATTCCTCCATGCCTAAATATTCCTGTGGTGATAATTCCAGGTATATATTTCTATCAATATTTATTTTATGATGTTAGAAGATTCTCTGACAAGCCGAGTTGCTTGCAAGAGTCTTAGGTCAACTGAGCCACCTGGAATGGACACCATCCAACTTGTTGAGCTGCCTGCAGGTTATACAATATACTCCAGATTTCCAGATTTTCTGAGCTGTCACCCATGCTGGGGTGGGCTATTGGTGATGTAGCTGTCTTTCAGTCACTTATGTCCCTATAAGTAGCCCTTCATCCATATTCCCATTAGTTATGCCAATAAAACTCGTTGGTTGAACAAGTTGGAATTTATCTGTACTTTGATCTATCACCACTTCTATATATAAGGTGAGTGGATATTTGTTCACATCCCCCCTGCGCCAAGGAATAGTCACACAACAAGATTTTAATCCAACCAGAAAGTGGTTGGCTACATCAAAGAGTATGTGGGCAACACTATGGACTTGAGAGATTTAAGGAAAACTGGTAACACAAAACTTGATAAGCATGAAAAGGGGCAGACCTGGGAGGACCTGGGGGAGAAGGATGAACAGGATCAATATGTAATATGTGAAATTCTCAAAGAATTAATAAAATATTTTAAAACATGGATTCTCAGTGACAATGGGTCACTCAGGTGATGCCCAGATGATGATGATCCCTCTGCAAATTTAAATTTTTCTGTCATGGCTCAGGTACTAAAGTTTCAAAATTTTACCAGCTGGAATGATGAGCCCAAAAATTATGCATGGATTTGCAAAAATGCAGCAACACAATGCAAGAGAATATGCTTGATTTGTTTGCTAGTAAATGAGACTTTATCATCCTCTGCAATATCAGCCTAGAAAAATGAAGAGAGCAGAGAACAAACCATGAAATTCATGAATAGATGCTTATTTGGCCTCTTTTATGAATAATAAACCATCATTGAAATCATGCTTTATCATAGTTTGTCATTTTCTGTTTGATGTTAGTCAAATAATTAAGGAAAAGAACTCTTGTACATATCTAATAAGCAAAGGATGATAAAAATATTAAATTAGCAGATTAAGAATTCCCAACCAGAAATATTAGGCATGACTTCTACCTTCTCCAACAACCGATGACTTGACAAAAGAGTATATCATGCTTTACTATTTAGCTTCTGTTTGACAGAAATCAGGGAAATATTTTCATATATAATGCCAAAGAAGATTTGAAAATCAACATCTGAATGGTGTTTTTTCTCTCTCAGTGAGTGTAGTAGAGAATCTCCAATGAGAACGCCTCTCAGTTCAATGCCTTTGTGGATGCCATGTCCTTGAGTATGAACTTGACTTAATTCACTTCTAATAAAGAGAATAGTGCAAATATGTAGTCATCTAACTCCAGGCTGTGCTTGTTTAGGGTGCTTCCTGTCAACTGAATGGTGTCAAACTCATCAAGTTATATGAACCTCAGTTACTCAAAATATGATCATATTTCCATTCAGGCCCTTTGGAGAGGAAATTGAGGCATAATGGATTCATTGTAGCGGTTCCTAAATTCAGTTTGACTGGAGTCCTAACCAGAAGAGTATATTCAGGCACAAAATATATGGATTCAAGGAAGAGCACAAGAGGACATCATGAGAAGCAGACATCTGCCAGCCAAGCAAAGTGGCCTTGAAAGGAACTCAGCCTCCTGGTACCTTGATTTTGGGCCTCAATCCTCTACAGCTATGAGAAAATAGAATATATTATTTCTTCTACCCAGTCTTAGAATAAGAAATGGGAACCCTGGAAGCTTGACATATTTTGTTTCATCTTCTTTGATTATGTTGCTTTGAAGAAAACCAGCTGCTGTGTCCTGAATGATCCCAGGAACGGGCTATGTGACAAGACAGATTCTCTGGTCAACATGCAGTGAATATCTGAAGTCTGAAAATACCCAAGTGAACTTAAAAGTGGATTGCCCTCCTATTGGCACTCTCAGTGATCCTGGTGAGATTGTGATCTTGTCAAAATTAGAGGCAGTTGTACTTAACTAAGCTGTGCCTCAATCCTTTTGCTTAAAGCTACCAAGTTTGGAAGAGTAGTTTGTTATAAAGCCATAAATAAAAAATGCATCAGAAAAGAGGCTGCATGCTATGGATGATTGATTGATAAATAAAACACTGATTGGCCAGTAGCCAGGCAGGAAGTATAGGTGGGACTAGCAGAGAGGAGAATTGAGAGAACAGGAAGGCAGAGAGGAGAAGACACCAGCCTGCTGTCCAGGGAGCATCAAGTAGTGGCAGCAGGTAAAGCCACGGAACATGCAGCGACATATAGATTAACAGAAATAGGCTGAGTATATGAGTAAGAGCTAGACAATTGTAGGCCTGAGCTAATGGCCAAGCAGTTTAAATAATATAAGCATCTGTATGTTTATTTTATAAGTGGGCTAAGGGACTGGCTGGGCTTGGCGGGACCCAGAGAGAAAAACTCTAGCTACAAATGGTGCCCAACGTGGTGGCAAGAGTTTCCACCTAAAACTTGAGAAAAAAGATTCTAAAATGGAGCTAAAAACAGCTTCCTAGTTGTCTCTCTCAAGTTGGCGGGTTCCTGGCATGCACATTTGACCGGCAGTATGGTGGGAATGAGGCATCTACAAGTGGCACATTACGCTGTGTGGTAGATTTAGTCTTTGCTAGTAAAAAAAAAAAAGAGGTTTCTGGGCTACACGCTGCTTTGATAGAAGCATAGACCCACTGTTTCTGAGAGTTGATGGCTCCCAGAGCTGGTAGAAAATGTACCACTGCCATGTTGGGAAGCTGACAGGGTGGAGCCATCAGCCACAGACGTGGTTTCAGTCTTAGAAATGCTGCAATTTAAATCAATAGGTTCACAATAAGTCAGATTCAGATACAATAGTTTACAATGTGTGTAAAAATATATGTAGGCTTGAAAGAGAGAGAGAAAGGATATATACAGTTATATAAAAAAACATAGCTTTTAAAAATAAAGTCTTTAAAGAGACAGTAAAGGTAGTATAAAAATAA